ATACGATGGAGTGTATCTATGTGCCAGTCTGCAGCTCGCTTGAAGAGTTACGGTACACAAATGTGATGTTTTATTGAACGGTTCTGGTAGCGAGGACATAGAGTTTCTAACGAAAGTTGGGAATTCCGACATCACTGCTGCAGAATGCGCGTGTATACTTATTATAATATACAATATCATATTAAAAGCGTGCCGTTACTATAATACTATGTGAACTATTAGCTCTTAACCCCGTGCATAAGGACATTTTAGTCGCAGATCGTGATATTATAACAGATGAAAATGTAGCGTGCATTATATCGCGCGTATTATAATAATACACAGGTTTAAGCGTTTTTGTATAATTAAATGCATATAATATATAATAGGTATATATTCGAAATTATTCGTCGTCATAATGCTAGCTCGGCGTACAGAAACCTCGGATTAAAATTTTACGCGCACTCGATTTCAGTATTGAATAACAATAACATTCACACGAACACGTGATACATATAGATAGTATATTTATATGTCTATGTATTATTTTACGAATTCGATACGTACAGTTAATCGCTAGTTATTACCCCGTCTGCACATCGATAAACTCGATCCGTTCATATATAGCATAACATTATAATATTATAATAATATATTATAACATTAAAATGAAATCCGTGTTTAATATTTATGAGAGCGGAATTGTTGGAGGGTGTGGGGAAGCGACGAACAACAGAAAACAACTCTAGGGTCTGAACGTCGTATACTATAGTTATTAACTCGCACAATATTATTTAAGACTTTTCCGATGATTGTCTGCCACCCGCGCCCGTCCCACCTGGGTTTTAAACGCATACAATATCATAATATATACTTTTCCGTTTTTCATTATATATAAAAAATTACCCCACTTGTACCCATATGTATCCATTTCATTTTAATGTGGTGTATTGACAAAAGTAGCACCCTACTCGATTTTTTCCACTTCAAAGAAAATGTATGAATCATAAATAAATAAAAATTAATAAGTAACCATTAATTGTATATTATATACCTGGTGGGAATTAGGTGTAGTTTTTTAAATTGTATTCATTTCATGGTATTTTATGGTGATAAACAAAGCGTTACGCAAAATCGGTTAGAAAATAAAAACGTCTGTACCAAGCCCAAAAACATATTTATGTAAAAAAAAAAAAAAAACAATATTCGTTTAATTTCGATGAAAAAATGTATATAAATATAAATAAATAGCTACAGAGACAACGGGCCATATAATATACAAACATATTCTAATATATTTTAGACGAAGCGCAGTGCACACCGCGACGGGAATATAATTTATGTTTATTTATGAGAAATTCTTCGTATCTCTCGTACGTGTAATAATAATAATAATAATAACAACAACCCACGAGAAAATCGTCGATGATAAAAAAACAAATATATATAACAATAATAATAAATACAAACGGAAAATTATTAACCTGTAACGTACGCGATAAAAAAATATTGCAATATATATTATTACGAGGGAAACAAATCTTCGTTGCCGCGATGATATTGTATTTTATACATATACCTAGGTACCTGCACGTATATACGCGTGTACGTGTATAGCGAATTGGATATCGAAGGGAGAGAAAATAAAACCAGCGAGTTCTCTGTGAATACTGAGCATAATATTTTTAACGCCTCTCGCACACTCGTCTCATTATGTAGGCGCGTTTTTTTTTTTCACTGTTTCCACTTGAATACGTTCAACAACTGTTTCCAGCGAGTAACAATAACGTCGCCCCGTTTCCCGAGTATAATATAAAACAAACAATGGACAACTCCGCATTATCTATTATAAAATTATGACATAATAATATAATACATTATATTATATTATATATTATATACGCACCTGTATAGGCATGATAAATACAGAACGTGTAATATAACATTATCATAGAGCGCGGTGTACGCCGAGTGTAAGACTCCATAATTTTCTGACTGAATTAATAACCATTACGACGTTTAGGCGCATCAATGCGGTGGACGGTTGTTTACGAGCGTCTAAAATTATAGTAGAATTTGGAGTAATTATAAATTCCGATGAGAAAATGTGTTTGATCAGTGTATTGGTGCCGGTGGAGATGGGACATTAACTTGTTAAACATTTAAAGCCAAGTTAGTTAATTTTCCAAACAATTTATTAACTAAACTAGTTAACTAAGTATCTATTATAATAACTTAACTTTTTCCAATTAATTGGAAAAATAATACGTTGAGTTTAAGTCAAGCGTATACAATATAATCCGTAATATTGTTCATACAACTAATTAAACCTTTTTTTTATATAACAATAGGTAACCTACACAATTATTTTTAATGAAAATAAAACATATTCATCGATTTAATAATATTAAGACGACAAATAAATTTGTGTTAAATAACGCGTAATAGGTAGCTCTAATCCACCACAACAGCTAGACAGTGTTCAATAAGATTAAATTATATGGATGCATTTATAACAAAATATTTAGTTAAAAAATAAAACTGAAAGCTATAGATATGGTAATTAAATACAATAAACTAAATGAGTTAAGTTGATTTTTTTTTTCATATAAACTTAAAACTTCTCGAGTTAAGTATTTCGTTTGTTAAGTTTTAACGTTCTTAGCGTTGACTTACATTTACTTCATTTATTTTTTTTTTTTTTTCATTAACATTGATGATCACAATTTATTCATTTCCATTAAGTAGGTATGTTTCAGATAATCGAGTTATTAAAATAAGAAAACAATGTACAAGTTCAAATTTAAATAATTCAAATAGTTTAAATAACGTTAATGTAATTTAATTCGTTACAGCTGAGAAAAATAAAAACCACAAAAAAAAAACACTTTAAGAATTAATATTTCAAAGTGACAGATTATTGGTATTAAAATCATAATAATTATAACGACATACTCGTATAATACGTTTACGATGGCATTTGGTTTCCACCATCCTCTCCCATCCTCTCGTTTATTACTGATACAAAATATTATAATACAATGCAATACTTTAATTATATTGTGTGGGTGTATAATAATATTACGTTGTTTGTGTGTAGGTATAGTCTATTTTGTATTTTATGTTCAGAACCGTTTTCTGAAACGAGGAAAGCATATATATATATATATATTATTTCGAGTCGACGGGACCAGAAAGGGGTAAGAATATTGCTGCTCTCGGCGCGACGGCGATGGGTGGTTTCATTTCCATGATGAGCAAAAAGCGTCGTCGAGCGCAATCCTCCGCCGCGATAGCGGCTGTAATTTATATCCGATACGGTTAAACGACTGTCGTGTCCCGCCGTCGCCCCTTTATCTTCCCAATGTGTGTACATATGTATATACCTATGTATAAATAATATACATACTTATATATGCGATCATATATTTCGAAATACTGTATATACTATTACTACTATATTATACTACTCGCCCAGACACAACGACGACTCTCCAAGCGCTTATGTTTTATAAAATTATAAATAAATTATATTAAGTACTCCACCGCCGTCGAATTAAGTCCTCGTTATTTCGCTATTACACCGATCCCTTGCCGTGCCGCGTGGCAAACGAAAAAGTTTGATTTCTTTGTACCACCGTGCACGACAGAGATCTCGATTTCGGCGATGACGTGTAATAGTATTGTTTATTCGGGTCCGTTCTAATAATATTTAGACTGTCGCGAGTTTCCGGTTGCACGTTTCCGGGTCTCTCCCGGCATTGCTTTTTATTATTTGTCCCTTCGCTATATTATGGCGCTACGAGCGCGTAAGGTTGTGCTCGGTACGATATTATTTTGTCTGCACCAACATAATATAAGTAGGTATAACTACTGTATAACTATAATAATGTAATATTATTTTCTAATTTCTAAGCACTACTGCGCGGTATCACGGTTTTCCGTGAGACCTCGTGTATTTTTAACTCAGATATAATATAACAGGAAAAATAACTGTAACTGACGACACGAGGGTGAACAGCGAATTTCCTACCGATCCGCAGCGGGTGTATACTTTTGGTGCGTACACGTATAGTGCCCGCTGCGAGTTTTCTGGTCGCACCCTAATGCGCACGTGTGTGTGTGTGTGTGTGTGTGTGTGTGTGTGTGTGGTTTACTGCTTGACGATAAAAGAGGGGAGAAAAAAGTGTTTTCACTCTCTCACTCTCCCATCCTCTCTCCTACCCCGTCAGCGTTATGACGTTTGCAGGACAGAAACCGACCTATCTACGTCTCTCTCTCTCTCTCTCTGCAACCGCTCTGACGCTGTCACTCCATCCCGGTCCCTATTTCCTCCTTCCCCACCCCCTCACCATATTGAAAACCTTCGTCGTCGTATCGAATTCCCATTACGAAGCGCGCTCATAATAATCTAATTTCTCCGCATTTTAATGGGCCCTCTCTCATTCGATTACAACTTACAGCGGCGGCGCGATGTCGATTTAAATGACCGAGTTTTATTTTATTCTATTTAAATAAAGTTGAAAAACCGAAAAGTTTTCAAAAGAAAAATATGCTTTCACAGTTATTGCGGCTATGGGTTTCGCTCGTATTCGCTACCTACCTACGTTTGTGTTGCATACATGCCTCTCGATAATGTTAATTATAACTGCGTATAATTGAAACTATCGATGCATCAACCATAACTACTTAAATAAATACTTTTGGTACGATCAAGTTATTAGAACAACAACATTCGTTAAGTTTGAAACGAATTTAATTAAAAATTCTGAACTTTAATCATATATATTACCTAATAGTAAAAAAAAACCATTTATATCACTAATTTTTTTCAGACATGAATTATGCGCCATTATAATACATACGTTTTTATAATTGGTTAATTGGTTTATAAAAAAAGTATTTTATTCGTACCTATTTTATTTCAGATCAAAGTTGTAACAATTATAATTCACAATTGAATTACCCGTAGTTTAAAACCGTTTAATTTTACTAATTAAATGTAATTTGTAATGTTTCAGGGATTGCCGAGTAGTACGAGATCCGCAAACATTAAAATCAAAAGGCTACGGCTTCGTGTCGTTTCTGAAAAAAGCTGTAAGTATACAAACATGTTTTTTAATCTTAACTTTTTATCTGATATTAATTGGAAACCGGAAATAATAAAGTCAGTAAATTGAGATATTATAATGAAAGGGATGTTTTTTTTTTTTTTAATTTCAATTCCGTCTTTTACCTTATCGCATCGGTGAAATGAGACAAAGAGATCTTTTGTCCTGTTGGGAACACAATATTTTGAATATCTTTCAAAGGTCTAAAGATAGGTATAATAAGAATGAGCTGGTATAATTCTTTTTCATTTTGTTTTCTCACAACACTTTGTGTTGCCCGTCAGTTTTGAATTATCGGCGACCACTGGGTCAGAGTTTTAGCAGTATACGTATAACATAACAATAATATTATAGACATCTTTCACACAATATAAAATAAACTCAACGAGAATGATTTTTGACGAAAAAGAAATCCACCTATTTAATAATAATTGCATTACCGCCTCAAAAAATATTTACTTTAACAATATTATCATAGTTGTGTAAAAAATTCGAAATAGACATTGTTTCATAATTATCATAATATTGTATTGTATTGTCCACCGCCGACGAAAAGACCGTTTCTCATTTCTACTACCTAGTACAACAACTACTACAGTCGTCTGTTTATCGTATTATATTATGTTATAGTGTTACATGTCATTATTATTATCGTCGCTGTATTCGTTCTCCAAGCTCACTAAATGTTTTTATTTTTATTTTTTTTTTTCATGCATATTATAATATTACAATATAAATACGAGATGTGCACGTATATACAGCGTAATAATACGGCCGTCGGTTTTTGTGGGATGATATACCACGACTGTATACAGAATCCCATTGTTTTACCGATTTATGTGCGGGGTATTGTGTGGGTTTTTCTCTCTAACTTCCTCTCCGTCAAAAACACAACCAACCCCCATCGCCACCCACCCCAACAAACGGAGTGTTTCGAATGCTCACGCGATATAACGAAACGACCGACCGGTCGGCTGCTGCGGCTCATTGTTGAATCACTGCTGCGTTTTATCCCGACACTCGAACGTGATAAGGAGAATTACTCCGGAAAATTGAACTGTTTACGTTCGCATACCACCGCGAATCAGCCGGTTTTTTTTTTTTTTATATACGTTATATATAATAATATGTAGTAGTCATTTACCACCACCATCATTTTCCCCGCTACCATCAGCCACGTCGTTGTTTCGGGGGTTACTGCGGTCGATCTCGAATTAGGGAATTGGAGTTATATTATATTCTAGTAAACATCCAAAACAAAAAACAAAAAAAAAATGTTTTAGCTTTCGAAATAATTTACTAGACGGAAGGGATACGACCATGACTGTATATATATATATTCATATTACTATATTATATATAAATACATCAGTCGCCGTTGCCCACGCACGCAGTATAAATTCGTCCAAAACCCACGGCTTATGTGTGTTGCACTGCAGACGGAGGAGAAGTAGACTAAATGGGGTCGGTGGTGGGGATAGAATTACGACTCTCGCTCGTGATCCCGTGTGCAATTTTAAAACCAGATAATTTATACAGATTTAAAAACGTAATGCTGTGAGTTTTTCATGCCAGATTGGCGACAGACCTTTATGAAAAATATTATTTATTGTTTATATTTTATTATTATACATAGTTGTTCGGTTTTTTAAAACTAAAATAGTATTCGGTAAAATATACTATAGTGAATACGTGTAATAGGCTTATTGATTCGTAAACAAATTTTAAAGCAATATACTCTCACCTGAATACTCGGACATTAAAATAAAATTATTACACATGTAGGATTTAAAACTGAAGGACCTACAACGTTCAGTCTGTAGAAATACACGTTAATTTATACACATCTTTAAAATTCTCATAAATTGCTTCGATATTAAAATATATACTTATACGTGGTGCCCAAAATAATACTTTTAAATTCACATTTTATAACAGGTATTTTTATCGGCACCTAATTTTATTTTTAATAACAGAAGAAAATGGATTATTCTAAAGTTAAATTGTTTTCATTAGTTTTTTTACACAGACGAATATAATTATTATAACGTCCACTTAACATTTTCCGTGGAACTGTACAAATTAGACATATAGGTACCTTATTAAAATTTATTTATCCAATAAATTGAATTATTATCAAAAATAATTAATATTATGTTTATCGTTTTTATCTTGTCTTTTGTAAATATATTATGAAGATTTGTAATCCGCACATAATATGTATGCCACTGAGAATAGGTATCATCTCGAAAAATCAGTACGCCAACTCGAAATTTACAGCGGTCGTCTATCGGTACATTCATCCGGTTAAGGGTCTGGCTTCAGATTAGGGCGAGGAAGTGGGCGTACGCGGTATTACGGTTTGCGGATGTAATTAAGTATTATCCGATCCACCAAGTCCAATTGACCGTTTAGCAATCGCCATCGTATTATGCGGCCACATTCCATCGTCTCAAACCGCGATTCACATTATTATTATTGAACAGTAGAGCGGCGTTTCCCAAACTAGTTGTTTATGAAATTGTATTGTTTATAGTCGCACATAAAGCTTAATAATTAGTAAATTCTTATGGTGGATGAGTTACAAAAATATATAATAGTATTATCATTACGGTTTTATACACAAATAGTTATATGCCTATAATATATAGGTATGCGCGTATAACTAAAACTGAAATTTTTTTGGAGTGTCGGTCGTCGGGTGGTCAACCCGGATAAAAATGAACTGTAATAGTGATCTTACTAACGCCTTGACATTAAGTTCGGGAAACTATAAGAAAATATAGACTATATTTTAATCGTTTAATCACCCCGTCGATTCGTGGTAACAGCCCTCGCTTGATCCGGTTCTTGGTGTGGTTGCACTTTATAGTAATAATCGTCGGACGATATTAATATTGTACTCATATTATGTACAACAGTGCGCGAACAAAATAAAAACGGAGAAAACTCTCCTCCTATCATGGCGATGTCATGCGCGTGGTTGCCGATGCCATATGTTTCACGCTCGATCTATGACACTCGTACTATATACGTCGTGTACGCGTGTTCCTCCGAGATAAACGCCACCCTCCCCGTTGGGGCCGGGAAAGCGTGGGCGATCGGAGGGCCGTCATCATCGAGACCCGGCAAGGCCGGGTCGTCGTCGGCGGCTTAATGTCGGGTCGTGAGGGATAAAAGTAATATATTGTACAAGTTTGGGTGCGTACCTATATGTGCAGTATTGTACTCGTGGATCTATCGGGTGCGCCGGTCGTCGCCTCTTCGCGACCACGTTTGCACGCGAAACTGTTGCGCCGACCTTGAAACTAGCAAACGTCTGTGGGAAAAGAAAATATTATATACCGCGACCGTACACTTTTCGCCTTTCGTAAAGGGCTCATACGATTGTTTTACATAAATGCGCGTTCGTAACGTCGCGGAGAAAAGCACAACTGTGCTGTTCGAGTCGTTCGAGAAGGCGCTGCCGTCGGATTGACTAACAATCATATATTACACTAATCGGCTACGCGTTTCAATCGGCGATTATTACCCACCCGTTTAGTCGAATAATCACACTCGTGTATCGTAATAGCACATTAACCAGATTTATCGGCACCCTCTCCCAATTTTTACGATCTGCTTACACTATTGTTATATTTAGTAAATTTACCGGATATCTTGTTGATATTTTTTTTCGTATTAATTTCGACAAATTATAAAATAATTTTTTATCCAATGATCATTATAATTGAATAAATACTGTGCATTGCGATATTATAATCCACCGACAATCATAATAATTTAATATATTATTTGTACGTTATATTTGTATATTATGTATGTAATACTATGGCTGTTTACAATTCGAGAACAAAATTAGCAGCTCCGTTAAAGCCCTATATCGGATATTATACAAGACGTCTCGTCATATTATTCTATACGAAAAATACGAGTATCCTAGTTGATTAAACCATCGAAATGTTTACATCCTGACCAATAATTTATAAAATTGAAAATTACTTATCTAAACTAGTTTCTAAAATGGCACTTGAAATTGAGGTTTCAAGTTCATACAAAAATAATAATTAACTACTATGTATACACTGTATTAATACAAAAAAATATAAGGTATCATTAAAATCCGCGTGGATCACGCTGATACTAATTGATTAATTTGACAATTTTTAGACATTTTCAACATGTACAACTTTTACTACAAGTATAATACGATGGAAGCTGACATAGAATCACTTAATCTATTACCTGATCGCTGATATAAATACTAATATTTCGTTCTACCGAATGTGGACATATGTTAAAATATTTGGCTAACCTTTATTAATATGATTTGTTTTTGGGCATTTGAATTTTGAAAACTAGATAATGATTTTGGATGCAACTTTCATTGCGTATTCATCATATTTTATGAAGCTACTCAAATGCAATGTAAACAGAAATTTCACAACTAATTAAGACATAATTCATAAGTATATTTAGATAATATAATAATGTAAATAATAAATATTCAAATAATAATGGATACACCATTTTGCAACTGTGACCCGTAGATATATAATAACATCTGTAAACTAGGCACTTAATCCAGTTCACCTTCTCTTTTTATCTTGTAATACATTTTCATATTTCGGTATTGATGTCAGTTATAATAATATTGTGCTATAAGTAAAACTTGATTATCTCGTGATATGACAGAGTAATTTCTGTAAATAAATATATAATTACAACTCGGCGGATGTCGAATTGCATTAACAAAAGTGCGTTTTGCAAAGAAACGTTGTAAGGTATATTTTAAAACCAATATTGCTATCGAGCCGTAGGTATAATATGTAACAATTAGTCGTCTGAAAAAGAGAAAAACGGTCGAGAGGACTGGTATACAATTTAAACACGACGACCTTTCGCTGATCGGTGGGTGGGGGGAGCCTTTTTCCGCCCCAGCCTATTTATATAAATCGAATATCGGACCCGGGGAGTATCGTTTTT